CATAGTCTAAACCCCCCAGTATCCCCCTTAATAACCCCTATAGTAATCCCCTATGTACTCCCTTAAATAACTGGCATTCAAGGAGTTTAGACGATAGCTTAGACAGGGATCTAAAGGTCCTTTCTTTTGGGCTCAGGGTTTGAGGTACGGGGTTTAGTGTTGGTGAACAGGACCTGGCGACCATGAAAACTGAACCTAGGGCACCTTCCCGAAGACCAAAAGGCCAGCGGACAACTTAAACCCAGACCCCAAAGCCCCTCTTCTTTTGCTGTATTCTCTTGCTTCACATAACTTACTGGTGCTTGGTACGGAATAAGGGGAGCATAATCCCTGTATAATCCGCAAGGAAAAGATTCCCTTACTCCCTCCTAGCCCCCAAACCCTAAATAGTAGTTTGCATGTTCTTTTCCATCATCTCTTATATAACCCTATAGTATACCCATATCTTCCCAGTAAGATCCAGTAGGATAAATTCTAGCAGTCAACCACATTCAGTGCCAGGCTTCCGGTCTCGCAGCACCCCTCCGAAGTTGACCCTGGGCTGGTCATTGATTCGGTAGAGGACAGATGCTGTGGGGATCGGGCTGAGAGAGGGAATGGCAGCGTCAGGCCACAAATAAATTGAATAGCTCCTGTAGGCAATACAGACCTACTGTGTTCTAGACTACTGGATGAGGCATATCTAAATGGGGGCAGTAGAGCTATGCTAAGGACATGTTAAAACCGAAACCTGTAATTGACGAGTTGTTTTGGAGGGATGAAGTGTCATGTCACCACGCAGGGCTTGCCGCGGACTGCTTCAACAAGAGCTGCAATGGATCCAGCGATAGTCACTGCCTCTTGGGGACTGGTGGCCTTCGAGAGCCATTGCAGCTTTAGGGTTTAGTTTAGGGTTCAATGTGGAAAGTGATTGCAAATCGCACTGATGAATTTGTGAAGGGGGCGGGGGACAAACTTGCATCCTGCTTCGAAGATAGTGGCCCAAACCAGCAACCAACATTGAAAAAAGCAGCAGGATCGTTCTCCTATGCCTTTTGAAGCGCTGGACTCCGTAAGCCCTGCCCAGACTGTTGAACTCCAAGAAACCTGACAGCATGACCGAAGTATCCCTCAACTAAGACAAGCCGAGACACGCAACACGAAACTCCAAACTCAAATTCTGGGTCAACTTCCGTTAATCAAAACACAGATGGTCCCCTCCCCAAGGAGGGTGGAGCACCGTGTTCCGGAGAATAAGCCCTGACACCCCAAAACTAACTCATGCTTTAGGGGGAGTGGATGCCTACAACCATCCCTATAATGTCCCCTGCAATCATCCTTAACGCCTACAATGCAATCCCCCACTCCCCCTAAAGGTCCTGAACGTCATAAAGCGCTTTATAGACCAAGTTTTCACCTCATGTTCCGTGTTCTTGTCCATGTTATTCTCCGCAAGTCTACCAGCAAGTATAGCCTAGCGGCAAGGCCCTGAAACGCTAAATCCTAAATCCGACACCCCAAAGCCGAAGCCCTGACCCTAACCCCGAAACCCTAAATCCTAAACCCTAATCCCTAGACCCTAATCCCTAAACCCTAATCTCTAAACCCCAAGCCCTAAACCCTTAATCCTAAAACCCTAAACCCTGAACCCAAACCCATTATAAGCAACAGTCAATATTTTCTACCCAATTTAATGGACATGGATGTCATGTTAAGGACTGTATTAAGGGCTATACTGCAGTGCAAGAGGGTCCCTATGTCCACCCTTAATGGCCCCCTGTGTGAAGCAAATATTGACAGTAGCTCATATACATCCTAAACCCTAATCTCTAAACCCCAACCCCTAAACCC